GGTTGAACTGGATCATCAAAGGTCAGCAGCAAAGACATTGGTTAATAAAATGGGATTAGATACATTTGTGTTATTTAACATATTTAATTATTGCAGGTTTGCGTCATATTCTGAGTTTGCATTTCACTGTTTTAATTCATTTTGATGAATCCTAAATCTGTTTTTTTGTGAGTGGGATGAATTAATGCACGTTCACATTTAGTCTAGAACTACAGTAACATCATGTTCACACAGCGCACACGACGCCTCTGTACTCCCCATTTCTCCCAATATGGGGACAGGAGACTTATCAGTCAATAAATGGGAAAACAAAGTAACTGGCGTTACTTTTTTGAAAAAGTAACTCAGATATTTTCTTGTAAATTCAAAAAAGTAATGCGTTACTTTACTAAAAGTAATCTGATTACGTAACTCGCGTTACTTGTAATGAGTTACCCCCAACATTGTTGATGATTATAACCAGTTTTGGGAAGTAGCTAGCTAGGTACATGTAAATAAATTACGTGATTTAATTACAATATAAATGTAATTGTAATTAGTTACTGAGAAAAAAACTTGTAATTAAATTACAATTACTTATGAAAATGTTAACGATTACAAAGGGAGTTACTTTGCAAATTAAATTGCAGTGACTGCTCTAAAATATGAGACACCGATGTTTCAGGAGTTTAGGACATGCTCATTTGAGAAGTGTTTTATTTGGGTTTATGTATATGCTTTATTTTTTTAAGATTAACTGTTTCTTTCAAGCCACTATGCAAAGATTTGATTTCAAAAACAGTATCGTAGCTACTAAACTATGGATTTTGAAAGTCGGACAGTAACTGTTAACCCTTTGTTTGAAAATGATTAACAGTTGAAAAGCTTAGAAATTTAGGAAAGTAGCCTAATCAAGTGTAATCCGTTACATTCCTTTCACAAAGTAATTGAAATAGTTACACTACTTATTACATTTTAGATATAGGGTAATGTACTCTGTAAGCTGTTACATTTCCAAAGTAACCTTCCCAACACTGATTATAACTGTAAACCTTAAATCTTTAATCTTACGGTAAAGGTTGAACTCATGAATATTAATGATGTAATGTGACGTTGGCCACTATGCACCTGATTGGCTGAAAGGCATACATTAATATGTGGGCGGGCCATGCAACCTTTCGATAGACGTACTTCTGGAATAACCATTTTCAGAATATCAACTGGAAATTGATTTGGACTTATAATAAATTCTGTGTCACTGATAAAGTTAGTGAAATTTACTTTAAAATGATGCATATAATTTTTTTGTTTTTTTTGTGGAATGGATGTTGAGACTGTCTTGCATCTTTTTTTTTCCTCGAATGTATGTATGTTCATTTTTTTGAGATTGATGTTGAATATTTATTTGCTATGTTGAGTGGATCTAAAATTGATATAAGGAAAAGACATGTTATATTTTATTTTGATTTTAAAAAATGGATAAATATGGATAAGAGTCACATTTGTACACTAAATGTTCGAATATTATTAGATAAGTTTTATATACACAAACGTGAATGATCTGAAAGGAAGGCCAATATCTCCCAAAGTTGACTTAAGGATTTATTTTTAATACTCTTCAAGGACTTTCAAGTCGGAAAGCAAGCAGAACTATAAAGAACTAAACTCCTTCTCACTATTGTGATTATTGATGTATACCCTCCTTGTTATTATTATTATTTTTCTTCCTTTTTCTTTCATAAAATGTGATTTTCCTGTTTGTAATATTTAATTTTGTCTTGAATCTTAATTGTCCAGCATATAAAAAAAAAACTTTTTTTTTTTTAAAAAAAAAAAATTTTTTTTTTTTAAAAAAAAAAAATTTTTTTTTTTTAAAAAAAAAAAATTTTTTTTTTTTAAAAAAAAAAAATTTTTTTTTTTTAAAAAAAAAAAATTTTTTTTTTTTAAAAAAAAAAAATTTTTTTTTTTTAAAAAAAAAAAATTTTTTTTTTTTAAAAAAAAAAAATTTTTTTTTTTTAAATTAAAAAAAAAAATATATATATATATATATATATATATATAATAATATGCAGGCGGTAGTTATCTCACTGTTGCGGAAGCGCAGCTTATGACTATTAATTAAGTCACGTGCCTGGGCGCTCCCGGAAGGTTACTAAGCAACGAAGGCGCGACTCATTCATATTCATGAGCTGCAGCAAGATGCGCTGACGTCACAGCAGGAGGAGAGCAGAAGCGCGTCGGGCCACTCTTCTCCATCCTAGCGATGATGGCGTCCCGACACCCATGAGCAAGCAGAAAAAGAGGAGGAAGAAAGAAAGGAAGAAAGAAAGAAAGCGAGGCCCCTTTCAGGATCGCGATGATTAATTTTTGCTTCGGACTTCAATTCGTTCGTCTTTTGTTGTTGATATGTCTGGATCATTGACTTTGTATTGGAGGTTGGGGTAAGGCGCAGGTGCCTCCATCCATCCGTTCATCTATCCGTCCATCCAGCGCAGTGGAGGGGCCGGGCCGGCCCGATGGCTGCTGGGGGAGGTGGAGGAGGATGCGGGGAGTCGGTGGATCATTACCGGGCGGAGGTGGAGCGGCTGACCCGCGAGCTCGTGGAGGCGAACCGGGAGAAGGTCCGGGCGGCGGAGTGTGGGCTGGCGGTGCTGGAGGAGAACCAGAGCCTCAAACAGCAGTATGCGGAGCTCGAGGCCGAGCAGGAGACCCTCCGACAGGAGCTGGAGCAGCTGCAGGAGGTACAGCTCATTCTCCTCTTATAATAATCACTGAAGATGCTTTTCAGACAACAGGCCTGTTGTGCTTTATGTTATAGAACAGAGCAGAATTAAATGGAAAACAACTGAAAGCAACAGAGTAGAAAAGAGTGTTGCCAAAATCAGGTCATGTCATGTTGTTATGGAATTTAATATTGCCAAGAAATAGGTTATGCTATGTTATCTTACAGTATGTTATGTTATGTTATGTTATGTTATGTTACAGTATGTTACAGAATTAAATGGAAAACAACTGAAAGCAACAGAGTAGAAAAGAGTGTTGCCAAAATCAGGTCATGTCATGTTGTTATGGAATTTAATATTGCCAAGAAATAGGTTATGCTATGTTATCTTACAGTATGTTATGTTATGTTATGTTATGTTACAGTATGTTATGTTATGTTATGTTATGTTATGTTACAGTATGTTATGTTATGGGAAAGAACAGGAAACAGAACAGAATATTGGCCAAAATCAGTTCATGTCATGTCATGTTATGGAAAAGAATAGAAAACAATAGAGTAGTAGTTTGCCAAAAATCTGCTTATGTTATTATCGCAAAGAATAGACTACTGCAAAAATCTGATAATGTCATGTTATGTTTGGAATAGAATATTTACAACATGTTGTGTTATGCTACCGAAAAGAATGACAATAAAAAAAAAAAGTGTAGAATATTGTCAAAAATCTTAAGTTATTATTGAATAGAGTATAGAATAAAATAGACTTTTGCAAAGTCTGTTCATGTCATGTTATGTTTTGGATAGAATATTGACAATATATGTATTATTTTGTGTTATGTTATTAGAAGAATAGAAATCAATAGAATAGAATATGGTCAGAAATCGGGTAGTGTTTTTATTGAAAAGAGTAGAATAAATTAGACTATTGCAAATAAATAAATGCATACATTTTAAAAATACAAAAATAAATAAATAAAAATCTGTTCATGTCATGCTATGTTTTGGAAAAGAATATTGACAGCATCTAGGCTGTTCTATTATGTTGTTGAAAAGGAAAGAATTGAATATTAGAGTGAAATAGAACAATAGAATAGAATAGTGTCAAAAATCTGGTTATGTTGTCATGGGAAAGAGTAGAAAAGAATATAATTTTGCCAAAAACAACAAAGATAGATTGACATGCAATATGTGTGTAGAACAGAAAACAGTAGAAAGAATTGTAGAATAAAATAGGATAGAATAGAACAGATTATAATACAAAAAAATAGCTAGTCACAAAATGTGACCCCCCCCCCCCCCCCCCC